GGAAATTGACCAATAACACAGCAGCAGAAAAATGCCTCTAGGCATGTCCCCGCCTTGGTGAAGATGTCTCAATAAAGTTCAAACTGTTCATTAGAATGAGGAACAAAGGGATTTAAGTGACTAATCTTTTTTCGATCTTACAGAAAATGGAAAAAAAAAAAACAAACAAAAAAGAACAGCGAGCGGGATCAAGGTAAACAGAATACCCTCTCTGAATGCACAACACATCAAGTCTGAATGAAAATCGTCTACAGCACAATGGGTGAGATTAACGTAAGCTGAGAACTGGAAAGTGACGCAGCATACTGCTCAGAGCGTCCTCAACGAAGTTCTTCCAGTTTCAATTCCCAGCCACAAGCTATAGGATTAATGCCTTCCCCTTCCCTCTCTGTTGACTAGTGTTGAATAGAGGCCCCTAACGCTGAAGAACAACAACTGGCTGGATGGGGCAAAGTCAGTCCAGACATGTTTGAATTTTAAGATATAAGTAATTAGACGACCAAACTCAATATTTCTTGTATTGTCAGATTTAAAACAAACAACAAAAATAAAATAAAATATGACAAGGAAGTACTACATATGACTCAAATGTCTGTTTTGATGACACCAAACGTGTTTCCTTGTCTGGTTGATGTTGATTTGCAGTCTGTTTTTGGAACGCTCCCTCTAATCAGACCACATGAGCTACAGCAATTATCATAATGCTAAAAATGACTACACATGTAAGAGGTTACACAGATCTTGTATTGTTCCTGTGGGGGTGGAGGGGGGGGGGAAGCCATTTGTAGTTCAAGAAGAAGAGTTCACCCCGCAAAAGACATGAAAAGTACCAGGAAGCTAGATACACATGCTCTTAAGATAAATGACTGACATGCGAGCTCTGCAATGAGACGTCTGACTGAGATGCTCACTCTACCTGTCGGTGCAGTTTCTCGGCATTTGATTTTTTTTGCCTTGTTTTAAGGAACAGGATGTATCAGCAGTGCCTCTCTGAGGTGATGCACCTTGACAGAAACCAGTTCCCAAGGGCCGGACTTGGAGGTCTGAAACATCAAATCATGCAACAGAGACGAGACGTTTTCACTAAACCTCATGTGCTAAAATCAATCAAACCTTGGACTCGACAAGTCTCTCAGCTTAAAAAAAAAAAAAAAAAAAAAAAGAAGATAAAGGAGCATATATGAGTCATTTCGACTCAAGTTTCATACAAAGCTCTACAACTCTCTTTTGCCTATACTTGCAAATTGAACGACACAAACTTGAATTACTACGCTTGCCCTTCGTATTACAGACCACCTAGCGACATACACGCCCTCCATAGCGAGTGACCTACATTGGGGCTAATTGCAAGTCCTGTTTATTACATATGCCCACACTCAGGCCAACTGGAAAGCTCTGAAAGCTCAAAAAGATCTGCGTCCTGGGAGTCAGGCCAGACTCCCCCGCCACCACATCACCATGGAGAGGCCCCACATCCATTGCGGGGGTGAGAATGGACTTCGGGGATCCTGGGCTCATTTATTTTGTACACCTCTCTACATTCATCTATGTAGAGAACCCAGATTTTTTAAATATCTTTGGTTTTGAGTACAGGAATTTAGCCAGATTGTTTAATCAAACTGAAACGTGCGAGGCCCTTAAATACAAAACTAGGAGAGGCTGGAGAGATGAACCTTGCGTTTCAACTATAGTATAGCCTTCCTTTGCAACAGGTGCAAAAACACAGAGACAGACGCGAAACTTACCCGAATGAGAGTCTTCGAGAAATCAAATCCAATGAGAGAAGAAGGAAAAACAAAAGAGTCAGATTCGTTCTGTCAGTTCGGTGTTCGAACTTGTTTCAGTGCCTCCCTGCACGAGTTTGATCATTTGATTCCCAGGATCGGCGGTGTTGCCGTGGGGGGAAAAAAAGCAGGTACAGTAGCAGCTGGAGGTCTGGGAGTGGCTCTCACCTTCTGGACTTAACTCTTTCCCTTCCCTCGCCGAGCTCACTCAACCTGTTTTTGTAACCTGTTCCTGCACGGCGTGAAGCGAGCGGCCGCCCCTCCCGCTCCCGCAGCTCTGCAGCTGACAGTGCAGGAAAATCAAATCAAAGTGCAGCCTGCATACGCACCGGGGCTGCTGGTAAATTCCTCACGGAAACAATCTGAGAAGACAGTGTGAACTTGAATCTTTGAATCTGCTGCCTTTACCGGAGAATTTCAGGAACACCTCTTTTTTTTTTTTTTTTTCCCAACCCCTTACACTCATTGAACTAGAGAGCCATTCATAGGCAAATGAGCTGGCACTGAAAACAAAACCCCAACTGCAAGAGGTGGTTCATCCCTAAATCTGACCACATCAAGATTCGGATCATACTGACATTAGAGAAATACACACTAGAGCCAATTGACAGGTTTGAAAAAAAACCTTCCAAAACCTTTTTTTTTTTTTTTTTAAATCTCACTAGATTGTGTGTAGGCTCTGTGCGTAGGCTCTATGTTTATGGTGCTCCGGCCACTTTTTTAGGTTAGCTGCATGCTTTTTCAAAGGCAGACAAAAATAGGGGACGCATAACATCACAAATTTCTGACTGAACCATAAAAGAAATTCTGATTTTATTTAATTTATTATTATGCAATTGAAAAGTTGTTTTACTTTATTTTATTTTATCAAAAAACTAAAACTTAAACCGCAAATTCTTTCAACAAAGAACATTTCACGTGTTGGTCCAGTCAAAGCCCAGACTTAAATCAAATTGAGAATTTGTGGTAACACTAGAAAACCATTCACAGATGCTCTCTGCAAAGAGGAACTGGCAAATATTTGCCATTCTAAGCTGATGACAACAGAGCTCAGAATCTGCAGCTGCAACTGCTGTGAAAGATGGTTCTAGTAGAAATGACTCAAAATGACTAAAAATAAATGCACATGATCAAAAACTCTGTAACCGTTTAACTGTTCTGCTTTACATTTAAGCACTGCTTTGTGTTAAAATCCAAATAAGATGCACTACTGAAGATAAAAGTTGCAACGAGAGAAAGTGTAAAAAGTTACAAGTAGCCTATATTAATGCTTTTGCACTCTGTTAGCAGGACCTGGTGGTGATGGATAGTCGTATTAGTCACCTCATATTCTGACACTAGTATTGGCAAAGAAATGTAATAGTGTAGTCAAGATGTGCCACAATACCTGTTTAAAGAGAAAACCACTAATTCAACATTTACTGAAAACTTTGGTTTGTTTCTATAAGATAAACTATATTTGTAAAATATGTATCGACACAATATGACAGCTTGTAGCGCATTGCATTACCCCAAAGAGTCTCAGTAAATTTAAATAAATTTAAAATTACTTTTATTACTTAAAAAAAATTGCAACAAATCATTTTTAAATGACATTTTTCCATATGTGTCCAAGAAAACTCCCTTCAGCTCGTATAACTGTTGACAAAAATTACTTGCTCTCTCAAAATCACTTGAGAGAGCAAACAAAATGAATCATCTGCTTGTATTAATAGTGAATTTATCAGAGAGTCCTAATTATGAAATAGTGAAACCGAGACTTGGATGCCACCGAGTTCTGTTTCTGCTTCTCGGAGTGGGAAGTGAAATGATGTGGGGTTAAATAAAATGTCGAAGTGGGATGAAATTTCATTTGTACCTCTTTCTCAGACAGAGAAAAAAGTGTTGTTTTGTACCGATAATAGTTATCAGACGTGTATGGAGATTTTCTATTTATTGGTATTTTTCACAATTACACATTTGTCGGGTCGTTACGCTCGGTTGCAAAATGTCTCTGTCAACACCGGAATTTCATATCCCGATTTAAAGATGCAAAATGTAGAATCTGTGTATTCTACTTTTGAAAAAAAAAAATAAAAAAAAATAATTTAAATTCTGCATTAATATTCTTATTCTGCCAGTTCTATACCCAGAAGTTTTAGATGTACAAACCAAAGATGCTTCATTTAAACATTGTATTAAGTTAGCTTGAATTGAAGTCAACTTTTATTTAAATTATTGTATTTTTATTTTCATTTGAAGACATAGCAACATTAAACGGATAATCCAAAGCCTTTATTCTGGTCGTCTAGCCTTATTTTAACCTGTAAGCCGTCGATCCTCCTTTAAAAGCAGCTTCTGCAGGCCCTTTGCAAATTATTCACAGCCTTTGGGCTTTTCCATATTGTGTCCTTATTTTACAGCCACAAAGGTTGAAAACACTTTACTGTGATTTTGTATGACAAACCAGCACAGACTGGATACATGTTTTCAAATCAAAATCAGTTGTGCATGCAAATTAAATGTACACCTAATTTGTAAAAATAAATAAATGAATAATAATTAAAAAAGAGAAAACCATGCATTGTATTCCTTCCTTTGCACACGTGTGGAGTGCTTTGAGTTGGTCTGTCATAAAACCCTAATAAAAGTTCTTGCAGGTTGAAATCATAATGTGACAAAAAAGGTAGGAAAGTTCAAGGGGAAATTTTATGCTGCACTGTACATACAAGCCCCGTGATTTTCCCCTCTGAAAGGAACTCATTTAATAATTTCTAAAAGCCTGAGGAAATTAAACTAGCTGGTGCTTTGATGAATAATATGCAATGAATTGCAACTAATTAGGAGGAGTTTTTGTTGCTTAGAATAATTTATTTGAAGCTTATTGGGATCGACAGCTTCTGCATAAATTTGAAATAAATGTTACAATGCAGACTACTAAAACAAACTCTCTATGTGTTGATTTGCTTATTATTAATTGTAGGACTTACTAAAGTGAAGTAATGCTTTAAGTTTGTTAAATTATACACTTAAGGGTCAACCATAAATAAGATGATTCCAAATACATTTAGATGAGCGTTTTTTTTTTTTTCTGTCTGTTTTTCTTTCGGAACTTCCTTCAAACAGAAACAATATGGCAGTCCCACCCCACATTGACAAGTAAAATTACGCCATCTGGTGGTCCAAAAAATGATGTTAATACAACAATCAGAGTCATTAATTGTGTGAAAACTTTACCTGCTCTGTTGTGAGAGAAGCCTGTTCTGCTGCCTGGTGAGAACTTTGGTGCTGCGGCGCCGACTCCTTGGGTGAGGACGCTGCGAGTTCAGGAGGCTCAGGAAAGGAGTCACAGTCAGTTACGCTTATCTCTGGAGTCATGTCATAGAAGTGTGGTGGAGGTAAAGGAAAATCCATTTCACATATGTCATGTGGAGGTAAATCCACATCTTTATCATTCGCAGAAGCCAGGGACTTCTCTCTGGACTTGTCCTGGTTTGTGTTTTTTCCCTGCTGCTTTTTGCCGCCATGCTGAGGTGTAGCATAAAGTTGTTGATCTTCAGATACTAATGGTTCTGGAGTGACTGATCCACGGCGTGATGAGTTAGGAGTCGCGAGCTTGTTTCTATCGTCCAAACTGTGAGCACGGTTCCTGGCTGCTGGTGCATCTTTCGAAGTTTCACTTGGCAAGTTGACCCACAGACCAAACGTGGAGAAACGATAGGTTTCTTTTGAATCATCCTGAACAGCTGGATGAGTCACTGTTTTTGTATCGAGTGACGTTCTCTTGGTCGTGTTCACGGCTTTGTTCTTCCCAGTCGCATCTGCCGGTTTACGTTTTGTCAAACTCTTTGGTGATTCTGTTTTTTTAGGGCCAGAAGAAGTCCCAGGAGGCGCAGAGACCTCCTTCACGTACTCGGCTGGGATATAGAAGGGTTTGGAGTCTTGGTCTTTGGAAACACGCCACCAATGATCATTGGTCTTGGAGACGAGGACGTACCTCTCGTTAGGTTTGATGCAGATGTGGCGGCCATCCTTCGCTTTGTACTCAAAGTCAAACTCCACCAACACGAACGCCATCTCCTCCTCCCTCCTGTGGAAGCTCAGTTACTTTGGTGGCAGCTCTAACATTTTGGAGCTGCAAAATAGAGGAAATGTGATGTTAGAATAAGTTTCAGAATGAAAATATCACCTAGTAGTACACAGTTCACTCTCCTACACTTCCACCTACCAAAACGAGTTTCTGTTTTTGCCCTGCTTTCACCTGACAATATGAACAACAACACACGACCTACGCTCTGGGGTTTGTTTATGTCACAGAACTTCCCCAGTTTGTAAAACTAAAAGCAGGCTACTAATATATTTTTAACTTTTCCATGTTTGTTTCAAGTCACAGCCACAAAATTCAATTCGTTTTAATGGGATTTTAAAACCATGTTTCCATCTGAGGCACTTATTGTAGCACTGGCTATAAGTTTACAGTTGTTGTAGTGTGCAGCCTCTACGGAGAGATTTTTAATTTTCTTTTTTAACACCTTAAAACAATACAAACAAGAATATGGTTCGGTACTACACAGTTGATTAGCCTATCACAATGCTGCTAAATGTGGGGTATCGGAGAAAATGTTGCTTTCACAGAGTCCTGTAAGGTCAGATGAGAGCAAAGAGGAACAGTTTGGCCAAAAATACAAAGAACCGCGTTTACTCAAAATCAACCAAAGCATATGTGCAAAAAAAAAACAAAACAAAAAAAAAAAACACTTCACACTAACTGTCAAATTTGGTGGTGAAAGTGTAACTATTTGAGCTTCTTCTGTAGCCACAGGACATGATCATCCATAGAGTTCTATGTAAAACAAAACCAACCACATAATGTGAGGCCGTCTGTCTTTCCACTGAAGCTTGGAGGAAACTGAATTAGGGAACAGGTCTAAGAGGGGCAGGAAAGGAGAGGCATCTTCAAGAGAGCTGTGCATAAACAAAGGTGTGCAATCCTCAATGAAGTGTTGCAATGTTGTAAACAACAAATATTACATAATTCCTTATAAAGCCTTTAAACCGAAACATTTACCCTCGGATTGACGACACAGTTTCACTACTTGTTGAGCGAACAAATATGCCAAAATTAGAATTGCAGGAAAAAACTAAAAATAAATTATCTTCTGAGGCCCTATCAGTCTGTAACATCACTGATGATGGCCTCACTTGATGCCATGCAAAAGTATTTACACCTCATTGGATATGAATACACTTGTCATGCTGAAAATTCAAACAAGGCATGGACTCAATATATTTTGAGGACTTCTTTGTGCTCGATCAACACCAAGTAGTGTATAACTGCATAGTCAAAGTAAAAGCAGACATGATAACTCCTGCCAAAGTTTGACTGTAACTGCAGTCATTTTTGCTTTATAAGGGATATTTACTGTTGTTTTGATTCGCTTTACATGTTCCTACACTTATAGCTTCACCTTTTTGGATGGTTTGTCTTTTTTTCCCTCTTACTTTTTTGGAGGATTCGTTTCTTGACTCGGTGCTTGATTTAATCTAAAGAATGCCGATTAACAAGGCAAGCCGAGATGGAAGATTCACTCTCCGTGCAAAGGAGATACACAGGAAGTCGCCTGCAAATGCAACCTTGAACCAAACTAACTAACAGACACAAAACAGCAGACTGTAAAGTGCTTGGCCACAAAACAGGAAGCCTGCACCAACCTTGGCTCGGCATCAGTGCGACGTCATCTGGCAATCTCAGTTTGTCTTTTTTTTCTCCCCCCTCTGCATTTAATTCATTAAACACTTGGCATATCCTGGGTGTTTTTACCACCCTCCTGAAGCAAAAACAGAGGCAGAAGTAACATTGTAGATGAAAAACAAGATCAACTAATATGAATAGTGTGAAAGTCCTTAAGAAAAAGAAGATACATTCAGAACAGCAAGTACTTTACAAAGAATTCTGACTCATTTTCAAAGATAATTCCTTCTAAAAATCCTTCTCAGTTTGACATATTAGTATCGTTTCACACGAGTCCCTCAGCAGTTGTCGCTTCAGTGAAGTGGAATAAAAAACAGAAAAAGGTTTCATTCTGGAATCTGAAGCTTTGAGGATTACTTGCATGTCTAATTGTCTCTACTTGCCTTCGGTTGCGATTTCTTTAAGTTTCCTTGTGATCAGATGAGTCACTGAAGGGGAAACAGCCACTCTGTCCAAACAAACTGAAATGTGGAGATGTGGAGTTGTAGAGCTTGAACCTGCTGCTCACAAGTGCTGTTTCTGCTCGACTGGCTGATTTCCTGTTCTGTGTGCCTTTACCGAAAGAGGCAAACTGTGAAACATCAGAGCTCTGAAAGCCACACGAAATGGGAAGTCTGACTTTACCCACACTTCCCAGTGAATACTTGGCATGTAAATTCTTTTTACGGCAGCGTGCTGACTTGGATTGAGCGGCATGCTGTTGAGTCAGTGTGACATAGCAAAAAATTAGCTTTTTTTTTTTTTTTTTTTATAGCAGAGCAGACGCCATAAAATTGTTGTGGTTGTTGAAACAGGAGTGAAAACTTAGTTTGTAATTCAGTAACAAGATAACAATTTTAAGCAATACCCAAAGGAAAACATAACTGAATATACTAGTGAGACTGCTAACTAATGGCACCAAAGATGTAAAATGTAGAAACCATTGAAAACTACATAAACCACATAAAACAATTCATGTCTGTTTATATCACAATTGAACTGTATGTCTACCTGTGTTGACGATCAAATCCGCCCTCTGCTGGAGGAGAACAGTCTTTGTTTTGAACTAAAACGATTTACATTCTGTGCTCTTAAAGTGCTTACTCCCTTAGAAGTTTGGTTTTGCTTTCTAGTCAAAAGTTTTGGTAAGCATATTTTAATATTAGACATAGATTTATTTGAGTAAATACAAAAAATGTTCACTAGGAACAGCAACAAATATAATTATTGATTATAAAAGGAAAACATGCCAAATAAATCAATATATTAGTTAAATAGAATATGTACAACAACCTCACACAAAAAGCCAAATAATATTTAGTGACTCTCTGTCATAAGGAATTTAAAATTATGACTGTCAATATCCTTAGTTCCCTTATTCCTTAAAACCAGGGTTGGCCCAGTAATAATCTTAAAAGGAAATAAAATATAAGCGACCCAGTTTTCAACCATATATTATCTGCCACTCACAATATGGCCACAGTAATAATTCATCCTTGTAAGTGCAACGAAAACCAATAGTTCTCTTAGAACAAAACTTTACGTCGTCTGCTGAGTTTGAGTAATTAATGATCAGTTTTTCATTTGACAGGAATAGGAGCCCTGCCATAGGCAGGGCATCAAAAAATTAGGTGAAACTCATGTTGTTCCTCTCCACGGAAATCTTTAGTAAAAGGCGAAAGATTTGTACGATCTGAAGAGAAACATGAGTGCATGATACTTAGAGGGCTCCTCGAGTCTTTATACTCCAGCATACAATTCACACTGACGGTAGCGATTAACCTAAACAGTCAACAACAAAAAAACAGAATTTAAACTTCAACATATTACAAGAAGCTGAAAAAAACGTCAAAAATATTTTAATATCACCACAGAATGCGCCAGAAAAGAGTTCTTATCTTAAATATTAACGTAAATAAACTGTACAACACATCGCGCAATGCATCATGGGTATCACTCCGCTTTCATCACAGCTACATAATAACAAAGTTCTGCTAGCTCATTAATAAAGCAAAATCAGCACGACTTATTCGAAAACCTAGAGGCGGACATGACGATTAAAACAAACTGAGAAAACGTTTATTTTATGATTGAAAACCTTTATAGACGGTTTCTAAAGTTAACGCATGCGCCGTATAGGAACTTAAAAACGAAAGATGATATCCGTGAATCGTGCATCTATGAGAAAAAGTGCGAAAAATAATGCCAAATTCTAGTATATTGCTGCACTATAATTCTAATACTTCTTAGGTTTATTTTATTCCGTCCGATTGACACCTATATTCTAGAACTGATGAAGCATCAGCAGAGAAATATTCACTCAAGATTTAAAAACGAATCTGTGCTATTATTTCAGCTAAATCTAGGACGATCATGGAGGAAGGGTAAATGAGAATAAATGCATTAAGGAGCAACTTCATCTATTCTTTTGTCTTTCTTGTACCTCAACTCCCTGCAAGAATCCCTTCTGACAGAATTTCAACTATCTGTTTCTGATTTTATGCAAGCCTTTTTCGGTTTACTTAGGCTTTTTGAGATTTTCGCACGTTTCTGCATTTCATATGAAATGTAGATTTTACTAGTTTCATTTTGGAAAAAAAAAAAACAGTGAAAAAGAAACATATAATGAACAGATAGTTTAACAAGATGTGCGAGAATAACAAAATGGCTAACCTTTTCCCCCTCTCTACTGTGTAAATCATTTAACAAGTGCAAAATTAAAGACTCCTAATACTGCTCTCTAAAGCAAAGTACACAATGAACAAAAATAAAACTACTTAAACTGAGTGAAACCTTTAACCCTATTTAATATTGGATGAACAGAATGGGCCTCTGAACATTATTTATATGGAGAAAAGACAAACAGACCAAAAACAAAACTTCTTGTGTAGAACATTTTTTATTACTTTGCCGAGTTAAAGTGGCACTATATCATGAGGCTCTGACTGAAATTAAACAGATGCAGTTCATTTTCAGTTTTGTGACAAAAGAAAAAGACAATTAAATACAACATAATGAACATTACATTACACAGATGACAAAGCAAGAACATATCCAGTGCTAGAAAAATTTACAGAATAAGTTTCTGGCAGGACATTTTGAGTAGTAAACATTTTAAATTAGCTGTGTTGGACTGCTGGTTTTATGCTGCATCAATGGCACTCTGAATTCAGTCCAGTTATACTTCAGTGTCCGTTTTCTCAACACTTCACTTGTAGAGCCAGTGTAAAACAGGCTCTCCTGATTTGGATTAACAAGCTGATATTATGGATTATTACTGAGCATCTTGGTCCACAAACCCTAGAAGGATTGATTGGCTTAATGTTAGCATTTGGTCTTCCATTTAAATACAAATATAATCTGAATTCCAATATCAAAAATAAGGCATAGTTCAGTAAAAAAAAAATGCTTCCCTTGTCTGATTTTTTACTGTACAAAAAAAAAAAAAAATTCTGTAAATGTTCAGAATTTCACGATGAAGGCTGCAGAGTGAAGACGCGGCAGCTTTTTGCTATTTAAGACATCCCAGAAACATAAAAACGGTTATTTAAAAAGTGTCTTTGTGCAGCTCCGTGCGTTTGCTTTCTTTTAGTTTAAATGGCCTTGACGTCGATGAGACTACCATGCTGGGTCCCCTGCCGCAGGGTCTTGATTCCCTGCAGCTTTCGGCCGTGAAGAGTGAAGCGAGACCAGGTGGCCAGCTGGAGCAGGGCACAGGTGATAGGCACAAACACCAACATGTAGAAACAGCCCAGACGGAGAGGCGGAGTCCCTGAGTCGGATGCAGACACAGAATCCTTCACAGGTGTCCTCTGGAAAATATCATAACCTGGGGGAGGAGAAACCCAGAGTTGAGGAAAACAATCCCTTTGGTGTCAACAAAGTGCAAATCTCAATCTGAGAATGTTCAGAAATTCTGGAAAGATCTTTTAAAATACAAGAAAGAAAGAAAAAACCAAACAAAATGGCTGCATTATAGTTAAACTTGTATCCTTGTTTAAGTAAGAAGTATTTAATGAAATTATTTTTGTTACTTTTAACAAAGCTGACTTGCTAAAGTTCTGAATATTTGTAAGTATATGCTCAATATTAGAGAGTTAATGACATTCATCTTCTTTACTGCATCATTGCTACTTGTATTCAGGATTTGAAGTAGCAATTACAAGATTACAGATCAATTTGACCTTATTAATTGCTAAAACAACTAAAACTTATACGTACTTGGGTGTTGGAACAGGACATTGATCTCAAACTCAAACAAAACAGGTTTTTAAATTGAATAAAGCAGACTATGACTAAGCTTCCTTGTGGAAAATGTAAGCTTAAAACCCCAATTTAAATCAGAAAACCAACCCATCTAGTAAATCCGCAAGAATAAACGGTAAATAAATATCTGGCCAGGATGTATACGCATTTCTCTTTTTAAAGTTGCTGAGTAAATATTCCACCCTGGAAAAAGAATGGTTCAAATTAAAAAATAAAACTTAATCAAATAAAAAGCCCCAAAGATGAATCTAGTTTTCCCAAAAGCTGTATGTAAAATGCTTTCGAGGAAGCGTGCGTACCTGTGTAAACGCAGAGCAGCCAGGTGCCGATGAGTGGGGCGAATGTCTGGCCCGGTTTGGTCAACAGGTTGACCATCCCAAAGAGGAGGGCCGAGGCGGCCTGCTGACGTCTGTTCACCACGTAGTCCTCGTCGACCAGATCGGAAATGACCAGCTTCAGCAGCTTGCAGGTGCCCTCTGTGAACACCCGGTTACTGAAACGAAGAGGCGGACGGTTAGTGACCTGGCGGGAATCCTTTAGGTGCGAACAGCACAGGTCAATCTTTCCTGGCGTGTGCAGCTTTCAAAAATGTGAAAACCAAAAACAAGCAGAGCAGAGAAAAAGCAGAAACTGTCAACGGTCAACTGTCGGCCATACCTAGCTATGAAGATGCACAGCAGATAAATGTGGTCAGCCCCTGCAAGCAGCATAACCACACTAAGTCCCAGTTTGAGCATAAACAGCCAGCGGATAACCTGGTAAACGCCGTAACGCCGGCACAGTGTCAGGAAATACAAGTTGTTGAGGTGGGGGGCAACGTAAGAGATCCCTGTGAGGGAGCAGAAGCAGAGCTGCATCAAAGAAAAAAATACAAACTGTGCAAAGAAACAGAAAAAATGATAATGTGCTCGGTTTTAACCACAGCTGAGGTAGAAGCTCTCTAACAGCACCAACTAAAACAGGCATGCCGAAGTGAGAAATAAAAATGCAACATTTTTTATTAGGTTTTAATATGACAGACCAACACAAAGTGGTTCATAATCAAAAAGAGGGAAAGATTTTCTTCTGAAAAGAGTGTGCTTTAATATTGAGCAGCACCTGAGCAAATACTCTGAACCATCCACTGCTGCAGCTGGAAGTACTTTGAGGTAAGTCTTCCACCAGCTTTGCACATGTAAAGACTGACATTTTTAAGATTTTTTATCTTTTCTTTTTTTTTTTTTTGCAAAATACCTGACCTTAGTCTGATTTAACTCAGATGGATTTAGGTTTGGTCTTTCACTGAAGATTCTAGCACGTCACATATATAGGCCTGTCACCAGAACAAATTTTACTAGACAATAAATTGTCCCAGAAATTATAGCAATAAATGATGGTATTGTTGTTTTGAGACAAATTCCAAGTAAAATTATGGTAACAATGGCACAATAATGCAAGAACACATACTTAAGGATCGATAAACTTTAAACTGTAATATACATTTAAAATTATTGAGTTTCTTTTAATTGATCATGTGATTAATTGACTTATTGTTTATTGTGACAGGCCTACACACATAACATATGCTTTGCAGTGTGTTTAGGGTGGCTGTCCTGCTAGTCTTAAATCTTCAGTCTTAAACAGTTTTCTTCAATAAGTGCCCTTGACTGCATTAATCTCTATTCAGCCATCTTCCCATTAAATGCGACCATTTTTCCCCTCTGCAGTGATTTCACACCTCAACTAATGCAAAGAAAACAAGTTCATATTCATTTAGAAACAATAATGCTAATGTTTTAACTCAGGAAGAGTTCAGAAATCAATATTTGATGGAATAACCATGAAGGTTTTCAATGCTGGGTTCAGTGCAGTGGTTTCAGAGCTGTATAGATGGAAAAAGTTTTTAAAAACAAAGTAGAATTTTCCTTCTTCTTCACATTCATGAACCACTTTGCGTTAACACATAAAACCCACCGATGCATTTTATGGTTGTTGCATGTCAAAAAAACATTTAAAAAAAATAATAGTTCAGGGGGTCCAATACATTTGCAAGACACTGTAGGAAATAACAAAAGTACCACACGGTGAGTGTATTAAATTTAGTCATGGCCTTAAAAGAATTCATGTTTACTGCTTTCTGATTTTTTTTTATGCTCTTGGTGTGGAAGATTTTTCTGTGAAATCCTACCGAGCAGGATTGAACCTGTAGAGGCAGAAATGTTATCAGACAAGAGATGTTCCAGGAAAAAAGGAAAAAAGTTGTTTTTTAAATGGCAGGGAAACCCCTGCAAAAAAAAAAAAAAAAAAAATCAGACAAAAAGATCAAATGTATATGATTTGAAAGTAAATATAATATTCCATTTGTACTGTAGAACTGAAAATATGTAGAAATATTTAACATGATTTTGAACAAAGTCCTTACAATAATTTGGGATTCGATTAAAAAAATAAAAATAAAATCAGAAATTTTCCCTCACGCTGTAGAAGTTCGTTTATTATGCTGATAGATTAAATAGTCAAAGAAAAAAATATTTACACCTTCATACAAAACTCATTTTAAGTATTTACTATTGTTGATATTTTTACCTTTACTATCATCTCACCTGGATAAGATTCATGGACACAAACCACATGAAGTTTCTGTGCTTGGAGAGCTGCTTCAGATACTGGCCAATAGTGATGGGTTTCTCTGTTTGAGTAAATGGAGCGTGACCGACACTCAGCCTGGATCCAGACACAAGAACACATATTATTGTAAAGGACAAAACAAAACAAACAAAAAACAGAGATATCGTTCCAAACTTAAAGACACTTTAAATGTCCGTACTCCTTCAGTGTTGACGCCTCATCTAGCTTTGAGCGGATCTCCTTGCTGAAACGCTGCTGCAGCAGCCGAGACACAACGAAAAAGCCCAGGACGGAAAAAGCTGCCAGAGTCACGCAGAACACACGGAAGGAGTAGAAATCCTCCTTGTCCCAGACGGAGTAGGAGAGGAAAACAGAGACGGAGCCCAACGCGCTGAACACCGAGCAGTGGAAGTTGAGGCGCGTGCGGTCGGCGGCCGACACGGCGAGGTCGGCCAGCAGGGCGCTGTGGTGGAGGTCCACCATGGTGAGGAAGCCGTCGTACAGACACAGGCACAGCAGGAACTGCAGGCCTGGCCTGGCCCACGCCACCCAGAAGGCCAGGAAGGACAGGGCGAAGAGAGGGCCATTCGTAGAAAGGGCCTTCAGGCGCTTCAGCACCACCTCTGGCGATGTGATCTGAGAGCCTGACCTGGGTGGAAAACACACGCCGTGTGAGAAATCTGCAGAAACAAAGGCTGCGATCTCTTCTCGCTCTCCTTCCTACAAAAAAACACTTAAGATTTGAATAAGTTAAAGTCTAAGTCAGCAACAGCAAACAAAACATATTTATAAAAGCGTGAATAAATACTGAATATCCTGGAGAATGTACACTCTTTGTTTAAACTTTTTTTTTTTTTTCACCACTCACTGAATAAACATAACTGGTTTGCAATATGACAGAAATGTAAACACAGGTGGCAGACTGTTTGACGCGATCAACTGGTTTTCCTGTCAACGTGGCGGACAAGGCCACATGTCCGACAGTCAGACGTTGGCATCGGCTGCGTGGGAAGCGGCGGCATTTTTTGTGTTGACTGGAAAGTCAGGAAAAACAGGAACACGACTTGTTATATTCGTGATCATTTTGCACCAAGTCAAGTTCAGATATTTTTCTTAAAGAAAATGGGATCATTTTCCTGGGGCTTCCAACGGTTTTTGTTGCCAAACTTATAGAATGAAAACTAATGTTTAAGCTTGTCAATCGCCAGCAATGCAGCCTAGAGAGCAGAAAAATGCTAATTCTGATTTATTATTTACTTTTGTTCATGTTTAAAATAATTTTATTTTCACTCTTTAGGGTGATGCTCTTATCCTTTCTGCATTTGTCAAGACAACATAAATCTAATTCATTGGTGTTCTTTAAAGTAACTTTATGTTTTTGTGAAGCCATCATTAATGCATTATTTGCTACAAATTATCAATGTTGTTGCGCTTTAGGCATAAAAGAAATCCTTGTTTAAAAAGGGAATTGAGTTATTCTTTTATTTTCCCCTTTAATGTATTTCAAATATTGTATAAAAATGCTTAAGGGAGTAAATGAAAAATCTGCAAACTGTGCCAATTAGTTCATCCGATTAATCATGAGAATAACCGATAAAATAATCTATTAGCAATGCTTAAACTTTGGTTTAGGACGGCATTAAACGAAAAGTCACGAAGATGACGTGCACAATTACGCCAGGCTTCGTTTTCGCTGTGATCTGTTGAGTCACAAAAAGACCAGCAGGTAAATATTCTGCAGGGGAAGAATGTTTAAAACAAGAGATGCAGAGGCTTACTGAGGAGAGCTGAGGAAGGCGTGGTCACTCAGCCAGCCGAAGAGAGGGTCATTCAGACTGTTCCAGATAAGGAATACAGTCTGTGGAGCAGAATAACAAGAAGATAATTAGACATAAAGCAAATGGACATCAGATCAAAACGACCTCAGAAAACCTTTTAATCAATTTGTATAATAAACTGAACTTTGCTAGATAAGTCAATAAGAAGAATAAATCTAGTGGAATCCATTCGCTTGACTTTGAATCTTTCTGTATAATTGCATTGAATGAACATTTCTTTTGTAAAGTCCTTTGTGACAACATTTGTTATGTACTGGTGCTACATAACAAAAAAAAAATAAAAAACCTGAATTGAACAATTTCCTGTCAACTTCACTTTGGTTTCTCCATTTACCGTACTCACCTCTCCCACCCAGAAGGAGATTTTATCGATCTTGTAGATGGACACAAACGTCTCCACGTAATAAAGCAGGAACACATTGTGGAGAATGGACGTAAAAAGGGCCAGTGAGCCGTAGAGCACTGCGGTGGAGAAGACACTCTGCCAGAAGCCCCAGACGCTCCTGCCCATGCTTTTCTCTCAGGTCCTTTCTCTGAGGTAAGCTGTGATCGTCATTGCCTGGACGACCCACCTTCACAGAAACATATCCTGACAAAAAAAAAAAAAAAAAAAAAAAGAAAAATCCAGTGTTAAATACATTTAAGTTTATTTTATTTTTTTTTACATTGTTGCAGTTCTGTAATTAGCAGGAGAGAAAATGAAATCTCTAAATTGTTTTTTTTTATAATAATGCATTAATTAAACAAAAAAAAACATCTAATCATTCTTGGTTCATATTCATGTGAAGTGAAAAATTTTTTTATTAATGCTTTCCTACAGGTTTCAAAAGTAGAAAAAAGTGAAAAGTGATATCTATTCATTTCCTTTTTTAATCTCATACTATTACATACAACCCCTCCAAAAAAAAAAAACAAAACAAAAAAAAAAACCCCTCAGAGCAGCTACATCTAAACTCAGAAAATTAATAATACGACTGGCTCCGTCTTCAGACTACAGGAATGCTGTTGGCAAAGCAGCGGGACTGCAAGTGCTCATTAAGGTTTGTTTAGCTGTGAACAACTTTTTCTTTCTCTCTGGGCAGATCCACGGCCCGCTGTGTTTCGCTTGAGTTCGTGTTTGAACCACGGGCTCTATAAAAAGCTGCCCCACTTCCCGGTGAAGAAATAAAAGTGAAGTCACACGACTGTTGCCGGACAAGTAATTTTTGCTGCATCGGTTTGCCCTTCGGCCTCATATTTAACGCTGAACTATGAACGTTCAACACAATTAAACAGTAACAGCTACTGGGAAAAGTTGAGGGCTGCATCTCAACTTTTGTCACTGCTTTCCTTCACTGAAAGCAAGAGAAACCTTATTCCAAACCATGAATGCAAATCCTACCCAGCCGCGTTTATTTCTGAGCCTTTTTTCACTCCCCCTTTGCCGACTCAAGGTGCTCTTCTCACTCTTAGGGAAAGAATTCACATAAGTACCGGCAGGTTTATTTCTCACCCCACACTTAGGCACCACAAGCGCAAACCTGTCTGCATCTGAAAACCTCTCGTCAAACCTCGAGCGCAAAACGTCTTCGACGGCCGAAAGCGACCGCGTTTCAACGTGCGATGTGGCGTACTCTTGTCCGGGTAAACAACAGAGCGGTGTTGAAGCACGGCCCTGAACCGTTAGATTCGGATCAGCGAGATAACAAGGGGAACGAAAAAGCTCCGCGTTATCAGATCTCGGCTAGGTCGTATCACGTCTAAAACGTGGCCGCGTCGTGTCAAATCGGTCTGCAGGAAAAAAAAAAACCCACAAAACAAGACAACATCTACAAACATCCCACTGAAGTGCAACAAAGCAGGAGATGCTTTTTAACCTGCGCGCAGGTCTCTTTGTTTCGACGGCAAAGATACACCTGCTGCTCACTCTGAAAGCCAAGAAGCAGGAGCTGATGAGGCCTGATCTTTGAACTCCAGGTTCTCCACATTTTCAAACATCAAACTTTTTTTCGAATTACAACTTACAGCCAATATCTGAACTCAGGCTTTTTTCATCTGCCTTTTTTTTTTTTTCAAATCCCAGACAGTAAGGAGGGACAGAAGGATTTACCGATGGTTTGATGAATAGATTGGATGGGCAAATTGTTCGATGGGAAAGACGTCATCCCAGAGGGAGGATTGCTATTCAAATACCTCCTTCACATGCGGTTACTTGTGTTGCCTGATTTTTGTGCCTCCTATGATGTCGTCACTCCAAATGAACACAAAGCTAAATTAGCTGGGGACGTTTTTGTGGCATTTTTAAAAATTGTGTATGTTGTCAATCCATATATATATATATATTTGTTTGTTTTACTCAGGGAACATTAAAGAGGAAATCAAATTGCATCTTAAACTGCATTCTTCAACTAAACAAGAAGAATTTAATTTGTAACATTGTGAAAAAAATAAAATCGAGAAGTAATGTTGCACTTTCTAAATCTTTCCAAACTCTTGTTTTTTTTTTTTTTTTTTTTTTTTTTTTGTTTTTTAAAAATTTAAATTTTTTAAAATAATAACACAA